TCTCCTGTCGTTTAAACATCTCTGCTTTAGAGCTCTTCAATACGGCGGCATGGTCGACAGTGCTTTCATGAGGCATTAACTGCATTGCAGCGCGGAAAAAGTAGAACGATGGGTAATGTACGAGATTATAACAAGACGACGCGTATAGATCAGCATATCTGTAATGTTTTTTTTTTTGAAATTCTCTTAATACTCATGAAATCGGCTATCACCGTTGTGCAATGTTCTTGAAGAAATTCATTTTTAATTTTTACGATCTCACCTCTCCACCTGTGAGGCGAAAAATGTTGTCCTAGAACCAGCGCGGAAAAGTGATCCTAATACTCCGTATTCTTGATCCATTTCGTGAGAAAGACTCTGAAATACATATTAAAATTATTATAAGTCAATTCTGTGAGAACTATGCATGTTCCAAATTTATAAATTTTCTGTTAATTGATTACCTTTACTTGCTGAAGAACAGTATGGATTTGTGGTTTGTTCGTGGCTGTTGCATCCAAATGTTTATAAATATCAGCAAGTGTATTGTCAAGCTGATTCAACTGTTCAAATAATGGCCGACGATCTGTCCAAACTGTAAGTTCATGATCGAGTTCAGGAATAACAAGGAACGTCCTCCAACCGCGAGACTTTTTGGACCTGAAACGTGCTGAACACTCTTCAGTATGGTATATATAGGAAATATTTTATGCAGCTTATGAATATGGTAGAGATGCGGGACAAAAAAAACTATTTCCTTCTACTTGCGTTCCAACAAAAGTCCTTTTTTAAGCAACAAGGGACTGAAAACTGCTCTAGATGATTCTACAAAGTTTCCTTGCCATTGTAAAAACAGAAATTGTCAATGCCACCCATACAGCTAAGAAAACCAATTCTTTTTTTTTCGAATGTAGCCCAAACCACTCTTGCAATATGCCCTTGGAAATATTTTCCAAACTAGAGAGAAGCCATAAGTCATCCATCTTTGTAATGGCTGGCCCGCGCTTTCTCTTTTTGCAAATTGTGGCCTACCCCTCCCTTTTCCTCCAGAGGCAAAATTCGCGTCAACTGCTGCAAGATTCTATTGCTAGAAATTGCATTCTTGATTATACTTATCAAAAGTCGCAAGGC